AAAAAAAAGGGCAGCCCGAAATTGTGGCGACACGGGAGCCAGCAGCTCGCGTAGGCACTACTCGAAGCCCCTTGCGTGAAATATTGGCATATACCAGCGCAGAGGCCCCTTCGAGCACACTGCACGGTGTAGTGCATGGTGCAGGAACGGCGGAAGCGCTTCGTCCTCCCTCCCTCTCTCCTTCTAGCACGCACTGGCCCTTACCGTGCGACCTCGTGCTCGTCAGGGCAGCGCTAGCCCTTCCGCACACCCTGCTCGTTGCTTTTTCGCCCCCAAGGTTCGCAGCTCCTTGACCCCTTGCCGGCAACAATGCTGAGCGCAGCTTGGCGACCAGCCCCATCTGCGCTTGGATCCCACTCCCGGGATCCATCATCCTGCGCCACCTCCTTGCCGCTGAAACATGAAGCGCCTCTCAATGCTTTCCGCTGCCTGCTCCGCTTTGTTTGAAGGAAGCTTCCAAAGCTTGGGCCTGACGCCGCGCCGCAACTCCGCTGGCTTGGCACCTCTCCCGCCAACTCGGCTTTCGGACACGATCGTCGCTTGTCTCGCTTGCTCATGATCTGCATGATCTTCTTTCCACTGAGACAGGCCCTCGACGACGCCGCTGCCGCCCGCTCGACGCCTTGTGCCTGTCTCTCTCGCGCCCTCCTCGCCACTCGCGCCGCAAACACTCTGGTGCCAGCCTGAGACAGTCCTGCCGTCTTCGGCATACCTGGCATTCACCCAACAGTCAGGGCCCTGAGGCCTTGCACGCCAAGCTTCGACAGTGCTGAACTCGAGCTCGTGCAATATGCGGCCCAAACGTCGAAGCAGTCTGCGCCTTGCGAGGACCTAGCGTGGGAATACCCTGCAGCTGGAGCGTGCCAGTCCATCACAGTCTGATCATCATGGCCTGACCACCTCGCGAAACGACGAAGCAGCTCGAAGCGCATACAGTATCGTCCTTGCGATCCTCAGCAAGGGGAACCCTGGTAGAGGCAAGACGCACGCACGCTGACGAGTCAGGCACTCCACTGCCTTCTCTGCACCTGCGTCAGCGACGTCCGAAGGAGGCTGCTATTTTGAGCAGGAGTCGGTTTCTGACTTTCGATGTGCTGCATTCTTTTCTCACGCAGGCGACGCAATGCCAGGCGTCAGGGCGAGCGAGCATGTCCGAGCAAGGGGCTTCCAAAGCGCCTCGACGAGATCTGCTGCAGACTGCCGCCAACCGAAGCCGACGACCGCGGTGCCAGAGGGCTGGTCCACCGCCACAGCGCTCTCGATGCTTTGCGGCAGTGCAAGCAGCTGCATGCACAGGCACGGCGGCTCCTCGCCTGAGCGCGCTGCTGCGGCCCGCGCTTGCGAAACAAACCTGGACCCTGACAACCGGCTCTCTCTTGCCGCGGAATGCACTACTCGAGCCTCCTCGCCCAGGAGCGCACCGCACCTCCCACGCTTAACCTTGGGCCTAAGCGCTAGCCGACACGCACCTCGGTGCCTCAGCCACTCCTGCACTCTTGGACTACCCTGCCGTTGGCAAAATGCTCGTCCGCTGATCGCCCACCCATCATCGCCTTACGCGCCCTGCATCTTTGGATGCTCTTTCCGCCCGTCAAACATTGCCGCTTCGAATCGCAAGCACGGCGATCAAGCCTCTCAGTGGCTTGTCTCCGGGATCTCGTCCAAATCTGCTCGGCTGCTTCGGATGATCGCTGTGCGATCGCTGCGCTTGCCCCCTTGCTGTGGCGCAAACGGACAGCGCCAGGTCTCACTCCATGCCGCTCCTCCATCCCTGCGTTCCCCTGCCTTGTCCTCGCCTCGCCCTAGTCGACAAGCGCATTCTACATCCATGCGTATCCTTGCCTCGAGCTTGTCCCACTACCGAACACGGCCCCTGGCTTCTTGGGCGTTCTCTGCATCGCAAATCTTGCGACAATGGCAAAACGTGCCCAGTATTGGTCGCCGCGGTATCGAATCCGCCAAGGCGCCCTGTGCGGCTGCAGGTCGCTGAGGACGGGCCGCCTTGACGGAACCGTTCCTCGAACCTCTGTGCTCACACCCCCTCTTCTTGGCTGCATGGACAGTTTGACACTCAGGCCCCCCAACACAGGTACATTCCTTCGGAACTTTTGATGCACGGCGACGGGATCAATTCAGGGCAGCTGTGGTCTCATACCTCGGGCAAGGGCTCCCTATGCGAGTGCTGTCTGTCCTTTGGGCTCGAAAGCCCAGTCGGAGCGCGTTGGGATCAGCGCTGCCAGCGCTTGCCACTCCTCCTTGGTGCATCCGTTCCGCTGCCAATGCTCCCCCTTCGCCCAGCAATTCGCCATACGGTGACATCTGACAGCCTCAGACTCCGCTTTCAATCACCGACCATGGATATAAAGAGCTAACTCTCCGTCCCCCCTCCTCCCAAATCTCATCATCATTCCTCACCTTCTCAGCTCTCCCCTCTCAGCTTCCTAGCCAAGCCTCCCCCTCCCCCACCTCTCCCCCTTGTGTCGTGTCTGCTTCTACTCGGTCTTCACCGTCTCAACCAACCACACTCTCTTTCAGGACTTTTCAGCCACTCCGATCTACACCAGAATCTTCCTCCCATCGAGCTTCCTTAAGATGCCTTCCAAGATCG